GCTGTGCCTGGAGGTGATGGGTCTGGGGGTGCTGGGTCGGGAGCTGCTGAGCCTGGGGGTGCTGCGTCTGGAGCTGCTGAGCCTGGGGTTTCTCCTGCTGCTGCATCTCGCCGGGAGCCCCTCTCTCCACAGGAGCTGCGCGAGTGGTTCGCTCGCCGCTGGAGGCGTGCTGCTGAGTCTGGAGGTGCTGCTGGGGTTGGAGCTGGAGCTTCTTCGACCGTCGAGGGTGCGGGTGCTGCCGGTCCCGGAGCTACTGGACCTGCGGGTCCTCCTGGAGCTGGAGCTGCTGAGGGCGTTGGTGCTGAGCCTGCTGCTGTTGGTCCTGCCGCTGGAGGTGTGGGTGGCGCTGGTGCTGTCTCTGAGGGCGCTGGTGCTGTCCCTGCTGCGTCTGGAGCTGCTGAGCCTGGGGTTTCTCCTGCTGCTGCGTCTCGCCGGGAGCCCCTCTCTCCACAGGAGCTGCGCGAGTGGTACGCTCGCCGCTGGAGGCGTGCTGCTGAGTCTGGAGGTGCTGCTGGAGCTGGAGCTGGAGCTTCTTCGACCGTCGAGGGTGCGGGTGCTGCCGGTCCCGGAGCTGCTGGACCTTCGGGTCCTCCTGGAGCTGGAGGTGCTGAGGGCGTTGGTGCTGAGCCTACTGCTGTTGGTCCTGCCGCTGGAGGTGTGGGTGGCGCTGGTGCTGTCGCTGAGGGTGCTGGTGCTGTCCCTGCTGAGTCTGGAGCTGCCGCGCGGCCTCGGCCGTACTTCGTTCCGCTCCTACAGCAGGTTCTTGGTCTTTCTCCTTCGGTAGAGTGTCCACAGCCTGTCCAGTCGCAGTCACTGTTGGAGCCTTCCTCTCCTCTGCCTGCTCCCTCTCCTTACACTGGTCCTACTGGAGGTCTTGCTGAGCGTCGTGAGCCTGCGTCTCGTCCCGCGTCGCCTGTTCGTGCTGCTCGCGCTAGTGGTCGCGGTTCGCGTCAGCGTCCTCCTCCTGTCCCTGGCACGCACCGGATGTCTCTGCGTCCGTCCACTGCTCCTCTGCGTGCCCCTTTGCCTTCGCCTCCTGAGTCCTCTCTTCCTGCGCTTGCCGACCCTGAGTCGGACTCTCTTCGCGCTGCCAGTCCTACTGTCACGCGTCTGCTTGCTACTGTCGTCACTGACCCCTCTTTTGAGTCCACTGCTGCGTCTGCTCTAGTCGCTGAGCTCGTTGACTTTGCTGCTCGCTGTCGTCTCGACTACGCTGCTGGTCTTGTTGCTGAGTCTGCGTCTGTCTGTCCTCCGTCCGTCGGGGGTGAGTGTGCTCTTGGCACGGACGTCCTAGAGGACACACAGGAGGAGTTACAGTGTCTAGCGGCTGCTTCACCTCATCTCGCGTCTGTACTGCTTGCCCCTGAGGGAGACCCGGATGCACTAGACATCCCGACTCCGCGTTCTTACGCGGAGGCCGTAGAGGGTCCCTACTCCTCTTAGTGGCAGGCAGCTATGGATGCAGAGATGGCTTCCTGGAAGTCCACAGGCACCTACGTTGACGCAGTTCCCCCTCCTGGGGCGAACATCGTCAGTGGCATGTGGATCTTCCGGGTGAAGCGGCCGCCGGGCTCTCCACCTGTCTTCAAGGCGCGGTACGTTGCTCGTGGCTTCAGTCAGCGGCAGGGAGTTGACTACTTTCAGACCTTCTCTCCCACCCCGAAGATGACCACTCTTCGGGTGCTGCTGCACATAGCCGCTCAGCGCGACTACGAGCTTCACTCTCTCGACTTCAGCACTGCGTTCCTACAGGATAGCCTGCACGAGGAGATCTGGCTGCGCCGTCCACCTGGCTTCACTGGGACTTTCCCTCCTGGCACCCAGTGGAGCCTCCGACGGCCAGTCTACGGTCTCCGCCAGGCACCGCGTGAGTGGCACGACACACTGAGGACTACGCTTGCGGCTCTTGGGTTTGCTCCTTCTACTGCTGACCCGTCGCTGTTTCTGCGCACCGACACTTCACTGCCGCCGTTCTACATCCTCGTGTACGTCGACGACTTGGTCTTTGCCACAGCGGACACTACTGGACTCGCCTACGTGAAGTCCGAACTGCTGAAGAGACACACGTGCACAGACCTGGGTGAACTGCGCAGCTACCTTGGCTTGCAGATCACTCGGGACAGAGCACGCCGCACCATTACCTTGACTCAGTCACACATGGTGCAGCAGGTCCTTCAGCGCTTCGGCTTCACGTACTCCTCGCCTCAGGCCACTCCTCTGCCTACTCGCCACTCACTCTCAGCTCTGCCTTCGGATGAGTCCGTAGAGTCGAGTGGTCCGTATGCAGAGCTTGTTGGGTGCCTCATGTACCTGATGACCTGCACACGACCTGACCTTGCATATCCTCTGAGCATTCTTGCACGCTATGTTGCTCCTGGGAGACACAGACCAGAGCACATGGCTGCAGCGAAGAGGGTATTGCGCTACCTGTGCAGTACGTCGGGCATGGGGCTTGTGCTTGGAGGGCGGAGTCCAGTGGTCCTTACCGGCCACGCGGACGCTTCTTGGGCTGACGACCAGGCTACGCAGCGGTCGTCACAGGGTTACACCTTCAGCCTTGGTTCCGGCTCTGTCTCGTGGCGGTCTACTCGCTCGTCTTCGGTTCTCGGCTCCAGTTGTGAGGCTGAGATCTACGCCGGAGCCATGGCTGCACAGGAGCTTCGCTGGCTCACCTACCTGCTGACTGACCTTGGAGAGCCGCCTCGTTCTCCTCCAGTGCTGTACGTAGACAACAAGGCCATGCTGGCCTTGTGTCGATAGCAGCGCTTGGAGCACAGAACGAAGCACATTGCTCTCCGCTACTTCCTTGCTCGTGAGCTGCAGCAGCGTGGTCAGTTGCGACTTGCGTACGTGGCCTCTGAGGCCAACACTGCTGATGTGTTCACCAAGGCACTCGCGCCTTGTGACCATTAGCGCTTTTGCACCCAGCTGGGTCTTGTGCCTGTCTTGCCTCACTTGCTCTCCTCTTGACTTCACTTGTACTGTGACATATATATATACCTGCTCTTGCTTGTCTAGTTTTATATGTATGTCTGTACTCCTGCATGTGAACTGGCCTCTGGCCCTGCTCTTGTGCTCGGACTGTGTGGTGACTTTGTGATCCACCCTGAGCTTGCTTTGCTTTGCTTGACTGGTCTTGTGACCCCTTGTTCTCCCCCACTTTGCCTATGGGGGTGTGTCAAACATTATATATGTTATGCTTGTGTAGGCTACAGTGGGTTAGCCTATAGGGGGTACACAATTCTAGGGTTTCCTACTTGTACTCATTTCACTGCTAGTTCATCCATTCCTGTTCGCTTATTCTCACAACCTGGACTCATTTTCGTGAGGGATAAACCCTAAACACGGGAACCCACATTTTTTTAGGATTGATGCCTCCCTGACATGCATCCCCCGATTGGGTTTTAGTTTTTTTTCGGTCAGGGAAAGGGATATTTTTTCCAGTGGCTTGCGAGATTCTGACACGTGGGTAAATTTGGGACTTAGTTCTGTGCTGTTGCCATAATTTTCCAGTCGGAGTGGCGGAGTGGCGGAAAGTGCCCGCATATAGCACTGTAGTCTCCTTAAAAGCACAGGGTCGCTAGTAGTACCATGCGAAAGCTACTTAGGCGTGTGCAAAGTGTTGCATGTAGCTCGACGTCGAGCTACGTTGAGGTTGTTGGGCAAGGTAGGTGAGCTGAGGGGTGCCATTTCTGTGTGCAAAGTACGCTTCAAAAATTGTTGACGCCAGCATCGCCATTTGTACGGAAATGTGCAATCATGATAGGCACAGAAACGGTCAACCAAGGAAAAATTGAGCGAATCTTTACAGTGTTTGCCAGACCACGTAAGACAAATTCACAGATTGGCATAAATCGTAATCTCGACCATTGCGAACAATTTCATTTCGTGATGAGATTTTCGCAGCCAATAGACGCACTCGAAAAAGACATTTGCGATTTCAGGTTCTGGTCCCAATTCAATTCTTCGACGGTATCAATTCAATTGTTCTTATTAATGCCGGCATTTGTCTTGAGTGGACAGTTCGTCGCCGGCAATGTGTTCTAAGTGCCGCATTTGACGTCAATCGACGTCAGAGGCTCGACGTCACTCGACGTCGATCTCAGACGTCTAAACTACGTCCAAACTACGTCGAAATACTTCGCACACGCCATAATGGCGTCCACGGCGCACACGAGATTGTGGGACGCATGCAATGAGATTGCACTTGATAAACGTGTAGGCGTGCCACACACACCGTTCCAAGGTTTCAGCTCCGCCACAGATTTTTTCAGTTTGTCCGTGACACTTGTCACTTTCCATTAATGAATCATACCCGTGCAGGCTAGACGCTGACATGGATCTGGATATTCGATTTGAAATCAAAACCCGGATTCGGTAATTTGGCATTGACAGATGGGCTGCCGTGACGCTTCAAGTTCATACAGATCGTAAAAGATTGCAAAAGCAGCAGAAACCGCGTTCGGGGGAACCAGAAACCGCGTGTGCTCGACGAACGAATCATCTCACTAGATTTCTGTCGCTGGGACCAGCTTGCATTACCAAAACAGTGGGAAGTCTTGTTTGTCGAGATTGATGGGGTTTGGAGCGTCCAACTGTCACCAGCTCAAATGGAGCATTTCATAATGGAGGTGGAGGTCCCTTGCTTGCTTGTCAGTGAACTTGTCGCACGCTGACAACGTTGCACGACTTGCCCGAACCCAACCTGACCAAACCCAGCCCATACAGTGCTCAGAGAATATCCACGAAGTTTCAAATGGAAGCTGTTCTACACCGGTTTTATATTTTGTGGTGGTAATGTAAAATCATGCTGTTGTATTTTGCCAATATTCTCACCAACGGCGGAAACCATCAATTGAAAGAGGGGAAGAAGGGGTGACATTTGTACCGATTACTATCACACGCTGAATATAGGTACCATCATAATAAAATGTAACTAACATGACGTTGATCCACATTGCGTGGAGCATCACCAATTAGTAACCACCACACAATCCTTATCAATAGTTTTCCAGCTCTAGCTTCGGCAACAACGACCAGAAATTTTTCCGGTGGTGTACCACCAGAAGCCGGGTGGCAGCAGTGAGAATCCGGAGCTCCGCCGTGCCCTCTGAGTACACGTGTGTGGGGCCCACATGACGTGGCTTCACCTTCAGTCCACTCATGCCCTTCTTGCGGATCACTGTTAGCGCTTGCTCCTCTGTTATGCTGCCCAGCCGCATGCCCATGCCTGCTGCCTGCACCTCGTAGTGATCTCTTAACTCCTTGATATTCACCTGAGATGTGTGGTTGCAAGGAAGAAGGTTCAAGGAAGGAGGAGAGGTGCTTGAATCTGCATGCGCATGCCTGCTGCTGCAGCACCACCATTATCACTGCAATCTCTCCCAACCACCCAGAGTGATCCCTCACATCAACAGCAGCAGCACCCCATGAGCACTTACAGCCGCAGCAGCAGCACCCCATGAGCACTTACAGCCGCAGCAGCAGCAGGAGCAGCAGCAGCAGGAGCAGCAGCAGCAACACCATTATCACTGCATGCTCTCCCACCCACGCCCATGCCCTATCAACATCCATGCCCTTCATGCCCAGAGCCTTATCATTCAGATCAGATCCATCCCCTCACCAGAGTGATCCCCTCCGCTCCGGTGATTGACACTTTAGCCGCCGCCCCAAATGTGATCCGTTCTTCCAACCGCACCCCACCTCACCGCACTCGACCCCTCTTTCACACACTCACCAGAAGGATCCCTCCAGTGATAGACACTTAAGATGGCCCTATCTTCCAACCGCACCCCACCCCAGCGCACCCCACCCCTCATTCACACACCCCCATGCAACCCCATGTGCGCCAGCAGCAGAGCATGCAGCAGCAGCAGCACTATGTCACCGCTGCATGCCCTTCCAATATCCATCACAGGCCCATCAAAGGCTTACTTGAGTAATCCCTCCAGTGATGGACACTTCAGATGCTGCCCCAAACGTGATCCGCTCTTCCTGTGGCTTCTCAACCAAATCCATCTCCTCCCATCCAACCCCAACTCACCGCACTGCACCCCTCCTTCACACACTCACCAGAGTGATCCCTCCAGTGATGGACACTTTAGCAGCCGCCCCAAAAGTGATTCTCTCAGCCGTCGCCTGCAGCCCCTCAAACACCCCCATGTGCGCCAGCAGCAGCGCGTGCAGCATCTCCAGATCGTCACACCCGCCCGCTCCCACGCTGCTCCCTCCAGAGTGAATCCCTGACCCGCCCACCAGGTCTGCTCCTGCTCCCACACATGCCTCTAAAAGGCCCAATGAGATTTCTGCCACCTCTGGCACCCCTGGGCGCTGGGGGAGAGACGAGAGGGTAATAGAGGGAAAGAGAGAGATTGAGAGAGGTTGAGAGAGATTGGGAGGGAGGATCGGCGCCCCTCAAACACCCCCATGTGCGCCAGCAGCAGCGCGTGCAGCATCTCGAGATCGTCACACCCGCTCGCTCCCACGCTGCTCCCTCCAGAGTGAATCCCCTGACCCGCCCACCAGGTCTGCCCCCGCGCCCACACATGCTTCCAGCAAACCCAATGATATCTCCGCTACCTCTGGCACCCCTGGGCGCTGTTGGGAGAGACAGGGGATACAGGGCAAGAGAGTCATGTCATGGGGAAGTGAAAGAGATTAAGCAGTTGATAGAGAGAGGTGGAGAGGGATAGGGAGGAGCGGAGCCCCTCAAACACCCCCATGTGTTGCCGTGCTCAGCACCACCCCCTTGGCTCATGCGGGCAGTAACACCCACCCACACCCACCCAAACGCCCACCTGGAAGTTGCTGTCTGCGCGGCACCAGTCACACATGCGAATGAGCGACCGCCAGAGGCCAAACCAGTCCACTGTTGCCGTGCTGAGAGCTACCCCCTTGGCTCATGCTGGCAGTAACACACACTCAGACACACATCCACACCCACCCACACCCACCCAGACACACACCTGGAAGTTGCTTTCCGCGCGGCACCAATCACATATCCGAATGAGAGACCGCCAGAGGCCAAACCAGTCCACTGTTGCCGTGCTCAGCGCCACCCCCTTGGCGCGCGCGAAGTTGAGCACCAGAGACACCACCACCGCTGCCCTCACCAGCGCGTCTGGGTCCATCGAGGGGGCGGGTTGCGAGGAGGAGGAGGGAGTGGAGGAGAGTGAGGAGTGGGAGGAGGAGGAGGAGGGGTGAGAGGAGGAGGAAGAGGAGGAGGCGGAGGTGGGGGGGTTGGAGGTGTGGGAGATGGAGGGAGGGAGTGTGTTGAAGGAGGGTTGGGCAGGTATGGGCGTGGGGGGAAGGGGGAGGGAGAGGACCGCTACTCCCATGTTGAAGAATGCGTGGGACATGGAGGAGCGTGGGTGGGATGGCGTGCGCGGGGAACGAGGGGACATGGCTGCATATACGGGTTGGGTGGGTGGAGTCAGGGAGAGAGAGGGGGGAAAAGAGATGAGTTGAAGAATGTGTGAGATATGGAATAGACGGGGTGGGATGGCGTGGCTGTGGAGAATGAGGGGAGACGGCTGTGGAAGGGAGGGATGGGGAGTGGGGGAGAAAGGGCGATACTGATTGAAAAATGCGTGGAACACGGAGGAGAGCGGGTGGGATGAGGAGTGCGGGGAATGCGGGGAATGTGGGGATGAGAGGCTGGGAGGGGTCGTACCAGGTGATGAGGGGCTGGGAGGCTCGAGGGAGTGCATGAGGAAGGTGGCAGGGTCGCATCTGAAGAGAAACTCGGCAGTATGTCGCTCCTCTAGCAGCAGACGGGCTAAGAGGAAAAGCACCTGAGCATTGTAGCAGCCAGAGCAGGGGATAGCGGAGGGGGGAGAGGAAGGGGACGGGTAAGAAAGAGACGGAGAGGGAAGGTGGCCGGGTCACATCTGAAGAGGAACTCGGCTGTGTGCCGCTCGTCTAGCAGCAAACGGGCGAGGAGGAAGAGAACCTGAGCATTGTGGCATGGCATTGTATAGGGGATGGAGGAGAGGAAGACGAAGGGGAAGTGAGGGAGGAATTTAGGGTCGCATCTGAAGAGAAACTCAGCTGTATGTCGCTCCTCCAATAGCAGACGGACAAAGAGAAAGAGAACCTAAGTTTGGTGCCAGGGCAGGGCAGGGCGGGGGAGAGAGGAGAGCAGCAGCTGGTGCGTTTAAACCGACTAGTCGAAACATTTCCACGCGGCTCTCTGATCCAAGACGTATGTAATACTAGAAAACCTTATAATTCAACAATCCGTTCCCTCCCCCCCTTGCATGCGATGCAGGATAGATCAAAAGCGTCTCTGCGCATGTCAATGAGAAGGTGGTCTCAAACGCTTGTGCAAAGAACAGGGCACAACATTTCTCCCCACACAAGACCAAGGATCAAAATGACGGTCGTTTTTTTTTTTTTATCATTTACCGTATAAAACGGTATCGTAATTTACAGTCGTATAAAACGGTAAAATACGGTTGAAATGTTCTTTTTGAGTCTGGTTTAAAATACGGTCATTTTTTACGACCGAAATTTTAAAACAGAGTCACTCACTAGCAAAATTCAAAATTCCCAACCGTCATTCTCCCTCACCGAATACTGTCCCCCCGAATCCAATCCTTGGTGATTTGTTTTCCCGAAGCGCGAATTCCAACATGTTCCCGAAGCGCGACATTTGAGCATTTGGTGAAATGGTCAACATCAGTTGACCCGTTTCGCTCTGTCGTTTCAGCTGTTCGCCGAAGCGCAGCTATTCAATTTAGCGAGGGTCGACAGTCAAACATTTGGCGAACCGACACCAATTGTTTGCATGTTTCGCGTAGTCGCTGCACATTTTCGCGCCCCCATTTTTTGTTTTCGCCCGCATGCACGACAACCCAACCTTCGCGATGCGAACTCATTTCAGCCAATCACAGTTGCACATTTTCCATTCCTCTCATCAGCCCATCCCCAAATTCCACTCGACAACGCTTGCAGAGCCCTTTGCTCCACGAAGGTACTAATACGAGCAGCAGAAACTAGTCAACACATCCTAGCGTCAGATTTACCTTAGCTTTCTCTCACCTCAGTTAAGGCCATGGTGAGACCTTTATCAGACGAATGGAAGCACCTGATCAAGGAGACATCCAACGGCGTTGTTAGTGTGACATGCAAACATTGCGGAGATACCGTTACTCCTAACGCGACACGTATTAAGTATCATATTTATGGGATTCCTTCATACAAGCTTAAGAACGTGACGATGTGCAAGTCAGACAAGGCTGAGCTACTCCGTGCGGAAGCCGAACGTGAACGTTCCACCACCGGGGGTTGTGAAAACCGTGCCTCCACGTCCTCGGTTGCACTTCAGCCCGTGCGTCGTAATAGGCAACGTGACATCCGCGACATGACGGATGATGTTGCTCACGAGCGTCTAGACTACCTGTGGTGTGCGGCTGTGGCAGATAACGATCTCGCGTTCAACGTATCGCGGTCGAAATCGCTCCAGGCGTTTGTTGAGGCGGCCGTCCACTTCGCGAAGCCTTACACTCTCCCCACACCCTACCGCGTCTAGGGCCCGCTGCTTGCCAAACTCAGGGCTGATACGGAAGACCTCGTTAAGCCGCCCAAGGACAGCTGGAACACGAGCGGGTGCTCCCTCTCGGTGGACGGGTGGACGTGCATGAAGTAACGAGGCATGGTGTGCGTCATCGTGCAAAACGACACGGCACCCGTCATAGTTGACGTCGTGGACTCGAAGACCGCAAAGAAGATCGGAGCGTACCTGGCGGGACTTATTGGCGATGCGATCTGCACGGTGGGAGGCCAACGCGTCGTCCAAGTCGTAATGGACAACGCGTCCAACAACAAACGTGCGGCCGAGTTGCTGAAACCCGAAGTTCCCCATGTCTTTTGAGACGTCTCAAAAGTCTTCACGAATTGCGCCGCGCATGTGTTGGACCTCATGTTGCACGACTTCGGGAAGGAGGTGACTTTTGAGTCGACTCAAAAGTCACCTCGCGCATGTGTTGGACCTCATGTTGCACGACTTCGGGAAGGAGGTGACTTTTGAGTCGACTCAAAAGTCACCTCGCGCATGAGTTGGACCTCATGTTGCACGAATTGAGTCGACTCAAAAGTCACCTCGCGCATGAGTTGGACCTCATGTTGCACGAATTGAGTCGACTCAAAAGTCACCTCGCGCATGAGTTGGACCTCATGTTGCACGAATTGAGTCGACTCAAAAGTCACCTCGCGCATGAGTTGGACCTCATGTTGCACGAATTGAGTCGACTCAAAAGTCACCTCGCGCATGAGTTGGACCTCATGTTGCACGACTTCGGGAAGGTTCGGCCGGTGAGACGCGTCCTAGCTCAAGTTCACCGCGTGGTTATGATGGTGAAGGCCAGCGCCTCCGCGGTTGTGCTTTTCCGGACACTCTTCACCAAGTTGTCGTTGGTCCGGCCCGGTGCAACGCGTTTTGGGACCCAAGTGATAATGGTCGGCCGCTTCTTGGAAGTAAGGAGGGCGCTTCAGGCGATGGTAATTAGCGAGGAGGGGGAGCAAGTGGCTGTGGCACGGACGAAGGAGGGGCAAGCGGTCCGGACGCTCCTACTTGATGATCTGTTTTGGGATCTCGCTAGCGCAGTCCATCGCCTCATGATTCCGATCTATGAGGTGCTTCGGGCTGTTGACAAACGCTCTCTACTCATGGGGCAGATATATGGCCTAATGTTAGAGGCTACAGTCAAAACGAACGAGGCTGCAGAGGCGGCAGATAAGCGGCTTACTAATCTTGGTATAATTTAGCGTGATTCCCATCGCAAATAAGCCACAAACTTGTTCGTTGGGTTCTCCCTCCACAGCGGGACTATTCGTCAAGCGCACCGGCCTGCTGGCGACAAAGGACAAGCCGTCATTTTTGGCCACCATCAAGGCAATCGTGGCCAAGAGATGGGACGGTCAGCTACACAATCCGTTGCATGCTTTGGAGTGGCTTCTCAATGTCAGAACTTGAGCTTAGAATCGATACTATAGTAGTGAGCTCAAAGCTCTTTAAGTACATCCGGAATGAGCAAGGTAGGGATGAGGAGGGAATCAGGAGGCAATCCTAGGGAATCAAGGGTAATCCCAAGGCAATCTCCAATTGGTGGGTTGGAGATTGCTTGGAGATTACATTTGGGTTTGGTTGGGATGTGGGTGTACACCCAACCAAACACAAAGTGCAAACTACACTAAACTAGGATATAAAAGTACAAGTACAAAATGTGAGATTGGGGCCTAACACCAACACCCCCCCTGAGGCGTCAATCGAACTCATGGCGGAGAAGGAGGAGCGCAGAGCCCCATGGCGCCAAGGAGACGATGGTGGGGAACCTTCCCAAGGGGCTTGGTGAACAGGTCAGCCAGGTTGCAGTCAGATGCCACGTATTCCACCTTCAGCTGCTCTTGTTGCACAAGGTGACGAATGAAGAAGTGCCGAAGTTCAATATGCTTGGTGCGGGTGTGATACACAGGGTCTTGAGAGATGTGGATGGTACTCTGGTTCTCACACCAGAGGGTGGGGGCTGACTGAGGGAAGCCAAGCTCCTGGAGTAGGAAGGTGAGCCAACGGGCCTACTGAGCAGCCACGGTGCCTGCGTAGAGCTCCGCCTCACAGGAGGAGAGGGAGACTGCAGACGACCTGGTGGAGCGCCAACTGACAGTTCCGCTCCCGAGGGTGAAGCAGTACCCCTGAGAGGAGCGCCGGTCGGTCTGGTCATCAGCCCAGGAGGAGTCTGTGTAACCTTCCAGGCGAGGAGGGGAGAGCCCACCGAGTGTGAGAACGTGGGACTTTGTGCCCTTAAGATAGCGCAGCACCCGCTTTGCTGCCTTCCAATGAAGATTAGTGAAGCGACCCGGGGCCACGTAACGAGAGAGAACACTGACTGGGTAGGCCAAGTCCGGTCGGGTGCACATCATGGCGTACATGAGGGACCCAACAAGTTCCGGGTATGGCTCATAGCAGGCCTCTGGTGTGGGTACAGCAGGAGCTGTAAGGAGGTGTTGCAGCGGCAGCGGGGTGGCAACAGGTGTGCACAGCTCCATCTCAAACCGCTTGAGCACATTGTCGATGTAGAACTCCTGGGAGAGTGAGATGGTGCGAGCCTTGCGATCACGAGTGATCTCCATTCCTGGGTAGTGCTTGAGGTCACCAAGGTCTTTCATCTGGAGGGCCTTGCTCAGGGCTGCCTGGACTGAGGTCATTTGGGCCGAGTCCTTGGCAACGAGGATAAAATCATCCACGTAGACTAGGATGTAGAATGGCTCAGAATGACGACGGATGAAGAGAGTCGGGTCAGCAGTTGAGGGGTGGAAGTCCAGGGAGAGGAGGACTTCTTTCACCTTGTTGTGCCATTCGCGAGGGGCTTGTTTAAGGCCGTAGACGGGGCGATTTAGCTTCCAGACAGTGTTGGGAGGGAATTCTCCTGGGAAGCCTTCTGGTCTGTCCATGAACACTGTCTCCTTGAGACGTCCTTGTAGGAAAGCGGAGGAGGCATCCATGGATTTGATCTCAAAGTCTTCTCGAGCTGCAACATCCATGAGCGTTCGAATGGTGGGAGGTTTGGATGTGGGGGAGAAGATTAGGTCGAAGTCGCGGTACCGCTGCTGGGTGAAGCCCTTGGCTACGTAACGCGCTTTGAACACCGGTGCCTCGTCTGGGAGCTGTTTTACACGGAACAACCACTTGCCCCCGACGATGTTGACTCCTGGAGGTGGAGTCTCGTCATCGAAAGAGTGGTTGCGAGTGAATGCTGCAATCTCCGCGTCCATGGCAGCACGCCATTCGGCAGCATGATGGCCTGAGAGAGCCTCTTGGACGGTGAGAGGGATAGGGATGGTCGGGTTCTCCGCGAGGTTGAGGGAGGGTGAGCCAGTGATATCGGGGAAGATGTGTGAGAGCTGAGGAATGACTGCATGGAGATCACACAGCTCCTCATGCCTGTCTTCTAGAAGGGTAGAGGGCACATCCCCCTCGGTAGAGAGGAGTGCGGTGGAGACCTTAGCAAAGGTGAGGTCTTCCGCTGAGAGCGTGAGGAGCATCTTCCTCGTGAATTCATATGCCGAGGAGAGACCAACGCGATGGGAGCGGGTGCCATGAGCCACCGGTGAGGAGGGCGGGGCAGGCGGTGTCGGAGAGGGTGACTTAGGAGGCTTGGGTGGGGGAATGGGCCGCCGGCGGTACGTGATCAGCTCGGGCGACTGTGGGAGAGCGGGTTCCTCTGTGGTGGGGGGAACTGGGGGAGGAGGTGGGGCCGGAGGGTGGGACCGCCGATGGTAGGTGATAGGTGCGCTCGGAGGGGGCGGCGCAGCGGGAAGTGAGGAAGGTGAGGGGGGGGGCGGAGCAGCCGCCGAAGACACCGGTGAGGCCGGGTCAGAGACCTCAGAGGGAGATGGTGGGATGGCAGGAGAGGGAGGAGGTGAGGGGGCAGGAGCAGGCGGGAGGTCGGGAGGCGCGTCAAAGTCTGCCCACACGAGGGAGGGTGGATCAGGGAGAGGGTCCCGTCCCGAAGGGGAGTAGAATGGGCGGGTCTCATCAAAGACAACGTCGCGGCTCCTGACCAACTGTTGAGTGGAGGGATTGAGGAAGAGGTAGTCAGGTGAGTCGGCGTTGTGCCCAAGGTAGATGCACGTTTGAGTCTTGGGACCGAGCTTGCCACCGTTCTGGCGTCGAGCCTTAGGGTCGAGGAGGACATAGGCGGTGCATCCCCAAACGCGAAGAGAGCGAGTAGTGGGCGTTTTCCCGAGCCAGAGTGTGGTTGGAGTGGTGTCGGGAAGGTGCGGATGGGGGTAAAGGTTGTAGAGGAGGGCGGCGTGGTAGAGAGCGTATCCCCAGAGAGAGTGTGGAGCGTTGGAGTGGCTGAGGAGGCACCGAGTGATCTGCACTAGAGTGTGGTTGCGGCTCTCAGCTATGCCGTTCTGTTGAGGGCTGTCAGGGAGGGTGAAGTTTTACTGGATGCCTTCGGAGGAGCAGAAGGCTTTAAGCTTGTCGTTGCAAAATTCACCCCCCCCATCCGAGTGAAGGCGCTTGACCTTGCGGTCAAAGGTGGTCTGTGCCTGCTTGACCCACGCCATGATGACCTCTGGAGCCTCAGCCTTAGTGTGGAGGAGGTGAACAGAGACGTATCGTGAGTGGTCATCCACGATAACTAGGAAGTAGCGATATCCACCTCGTGCAAGAACAGGGGCAGGGCCCCAGACGTCCATGTGCACTAGGTCCAGTGGTGCCGCTGCGATTGTGGGTGAGGCAGTGTGGGGCTGTTGGCGCAGTTTGCTCTTGGTGCAATCAAGGCACGTGGGAGCGGGTGAGTCAGGTGGTGGAGGAAGTGTGGCTGGCAGGCCGAGAAGAAGTTTCTTGGAGGCCATGTCAGCAAGCGTGCGGAAGTTTGGGTGCCCTAACCGATGATGATAGAGGATGGTCGGGTTGGAGAGGCTGCGACATGTGCATGGTGTGATGGGAGCCTGTGCTTGGGTGGTTGAAACCTGTGGGAGAGGAACGCGTAGCGTGTAGAGGCCGCTGCTATTGAGGGTGAAGCGGGCCAAGACCTTGTTGGTGAGTGGGTCAATGATGTCGCAGTGGTCCTCATTCTCCGAGAAGATGGTGCGTAGCCCTGCTTTCTGAATTTCTGTTTGAGCCACTAGATTGTGGCGTAGTGAAGGCACGCACATGCCAGTGACGGTGCCGGAAGGGAAGGCTGGGCATGGGACTGTGGAGGTGCCCTTGGCTAGGGTGGTGAAGCTGGAGTCAGCTCCCAAGAGAGGGATAGGTGCTGGATAGGGTTTGAAGGAGAGTGTCTCCTTGAGCACAGTGTGAGTGGCCCCACTGTCGAGTGTGAACTCTATGTACTGTGGTGCCTGTGATGAGTCGATGTACTAGGAAGTGGCTTCATTAATCATGGCAGTGCCAGGAAACAACAGGTTGATACGCACATCAACAGGAGCACTGTCACTAGCACTAGCCGAAGAAGGGTCCTGGACCTCAACGAGATTGGCCTTACGAGCGCGCATCCAGTTTGGCGGCTTCTTGTCAACCCCGTGGATGGCATACCACTCGTCGTCTTTCTTCTTGAAGCATGTGGCAAGGGGGTGGTTAGTGCCACCACACACTTGTCCCTTGCGGTTGCCATACTTGACGACGTAGGTGCACGGAGGAAAGCGGTTGCGCTGGAAAGGCGCCGAGGCAAGGGCCGCTGCAACACTTGCTAGGGGCATGGGAGCACGGATGGCGTGTGCCTTGGCCTGAGCAGTGGAGTCTTTCTCGGCAGAGAGGAGTGCGGTGGAGACCTTAGCAAAGGTGAGGTCTTCCGCTGAGAGCGTGAGGAGCATCTTCCTCGTGACTTCATATGCCGAGGAGAGACCAACAAGAAGGGCGGCTGCAGGGGCTTGTTCGGGGAAGACTATACCCAGCTCCTTGAGTTCACCATGAATGGTCTGCACCTTGGCGATGTAGTCAGCCATTCCTGAGCAGTCCTCAAGGCGGACTTGAAACATGCTGGGGATGAGAATCGCCACTCCGACCGCCGTCTTGTTCATGAACCGATCCTGGAGATACTTCCAGATGGCGTTGGAGGTAGGGTAGTTGTGGAACGTGTTGACAAGTTCGGGAGGGGTGGAGGCAATGAAGACGCTGATGATGGCAGCATCGGCCTTCTCCCACTTCCGGTACTTCTCAACAGCTTCTTCGTACGTCATCTCGTCAGCATCACTTGAAGATTCGGTCGGTTCACGGGGAAGAGTGGGCTGTTTCCCCTTGCCACGGTTGAGGAGGACGTCCTTGAGGTCAAGGCCCTGCACGTCACGGCTCAGGAGGTGCTTGTCAACTCCGTAGCTCCACGCCTTGAAGTTGGAGCTAGAGCCATCGGCTTCAAGGCGGAGCGGGGTGATGGGGTTCGCCATGGTGGAAGGCGAGAAAGCCATGGTGGAGACCCCTTAACTTCTCGCGCGGAGCGCCGCTCTTAAGTCACCAATAGGAACTTGAGGTTTGGGGTTTCCAAAGGAGATTTTGAAGAACCGGAGGTTTAGGGTTTACGAAGGAGAATTTGACTGAGACGCCAATTTAGTGTCAACTACCTACTAGTCCTATTCCCACACACCCCCCCACACACCACCCTCAGCTTCGCGGCTACGCTGCTGCTCGGCTTCGCGGCTACACGGCTGCTCGGCTTCGCGGCTACGCTGCTGCTCGGCTGCGTTGCTGTACCTGTTCAGCTGCGGGAAAGAGGGGGGATGGGGGTAGGAGTGCAGATGCGGGGCGACAGGCGGCAGCCCGAAGATGACGCTGCGGGGCGACGGGCGGCGGCCCGACGAGAAGCTGCAGGGCGACGGGCGGCAGCCCGTCGAGGAGAAGAAGTGACGAATTGATGAAAACGAGTGTTAGGTTAGAGCGCCGACGATGCGCTTACCAGAGAAGTTTCCGTTGATGGTGACGGGAAGGTTTGGAGGGAGAAATTCCGCCGATGAATGTCGCGAATCAACGGCGACGAAATTGGCGATGGCTTCCCCGAGGTTTGCGGGACAAGTATCCGCAGAGATGAGAGGATCACGATCCGCGTATGCGGTTGAGCTGCTCTGATACCATGTCAGAACTTGAGCTTAGAATCGATACTATAGTAGTGAGCTCAAAGCTCTTTAAGTACATCCGGAATGAGCAAGGTAGGGATGAGGAGGGAATCAGGAGGCAATCCTAGGGAATCAAGGGTAATCCCAAGGCAATCTCCAATTGGTGGGTTGGAGATTGCTTGGAGATTACATTTGGGTTTGGTTGGGATGTGGGTGTACACCCAACCAAACACAAAGTGCAAACTACACTAAACTAGGATATAAAAGTACAAGTACAAAATGTGAGATTGGGGCCTAACACCAACACTCAACCCCCGAAACCAATACCAGAATGCGGTGGGAAACGACAAGGAGGTAATGGCAGGGGCGGATGAGGTCATCCAAGCCCGTGGTGGGGACGTGGCTAAGCACGCATTGCCGTGCGCTCAGCTGACCCAGTTCCACAAGGGAGAGGGGCGGCTTGGATCACACGACGCCCGTTGGGCAGCCTCTACGTTGGTGGAGGGAGGGCGCTTGACAGATGCCAAATGGTGGTAGATGTATGGTGGGGAGGTCCAGGCGCTTCAGGAGCTGGCTGTGATGACCCTATCACAGCCAGTCACCTCTTCCGAGGTGGAACGCTACTGGTCCGCCCTTGCTCGTGTGCAGAGGCGGGACTGGAACCGCCTAGCCGCCACAAAGATGACTGACGTCACCTTTGTGGCCTTCACAAGGCGTGCACGTGAGGCTTTCGATCGCAGGCAGGTTGTGCGTGAGAAGCTCTATCGTGACCTGAGCAACGGCACCCTCAAGGACGGCTGCCTCGTTCCCCCGGTCGCACCAAAAGAAGAGGAAGAGGGGGCTGAAGTAGTGGAGGGAGAGGAGGAAGAATGTACCACCAATAACTGGGTGGAGTTCAGGAGCATTGGGAAGAAGAGCAGGAAGAGGAAGGCGGGAGAGTCCTCCAAGAGGAAGAGGAAGGGAAAGGGGAAGGGGAAGGGGAAGGGGAAGGGGAAGGGGAAGGGCAAAGTTTCATGCAAGGGTGTGAGGAAGGGAAAAGCTGCAGAGTGGGGGGAGGAGGAGGAGGAGGAGGAGGAGGAGGAGGAGGAGGAGGAGGAGGAGGAGGAGGAGGAGGAGGAGGAGGAGGAGGAGGCTCCGGCGGCGGACAGCAGTGGGCGTGAGGAGGCGGCGCCCGCCAAGAACCCAAGGGGCATCGATCCGTGGGATATCAGCGATGGTGATAGTGGGGAGGAGGAAGAGGATGAGGAGGATGACGAGGAGGAGGAAGAAGAGGATCAGTAAGGTATAGTGTAGTGGGGGGTAGAGATTAAATAAGGGGTGTTAACTCATTGCAGGCTTGTGTGGAGAGGCGGAGGAGGGGAGGAGGATAGAGTGGGGGAAAGGTTAGATTGGGAGTAGAGTAACAGTTAGCGAGGTAGTCATAGACCGTAGAGTAAGGGTAGTAGGCCATTCTAGGCTTGTCTCTCAGTTGGTCCTTATCATTCTAGGTCGTCTCAATAAATTCTTGGGAAAAAAAAAAACACCAGAAGTCCAATAAAAAACGGCAGAATTTTTGCCAAACTGGCCGTAAAAAACGATCGCTAAAGAATGACCATAATTTTGCTCCTTGCACAAGACCATGGCCTTAGCTCTTTTGAGTCGACTCAAAATTCACCTTAGCTCTTTTGAGTCGACCCAAGTTCACCTTAGTTCTTCGAAAAGCCCATTCCTCGTGCAGAGCATCCGAATCGAAAGCATAGCCCTTGCCTCTCCCTTATGCCCTCACTTTGACCCTCTCAACTCTGCTCACCTTTGACCCTCTCAACTCTGCTCACCTTTGACCCTCTCGCGTCCTCAAATTTCCTCTCGTCTCGAACAGGAGGGAGAGGGATCGACTGTCAACATGGACCCAGAGATAGCATGTGTCAAGGCGTGTGCCCTCACCTTTGCCCTCGGTAGCCCTCCCTCCCCTTGCAGGGCGTGCGGGTCAAAGGCGTCTCGGCAGGTGAGCAGCAGCAGGCGCAGGCAGTCGCCCCACAGGAGGGAGAGAGACTTGCCAGGTCCGACAATGAAGCCCTCATGCGGCCACAGCTGGAGTGGGGGTAGAGAAGGAGAGGGAGTGAGGATGAGTGTTGACAGCAGCAGCAGCAGCAGCAGCAGGCGAAGAAGATCTCCCCACAAGAGAAATGAGTTGAAAATACGGAAAGGGAGGCATGACATCACAAGGGATTGAAAAGGAAGGAGCGCTGGCACAGCAGCAGCAGCAGCAGCAGCAGCAGCAGCAGCAGCAGCAGCAGCAGCAGCAGCAGCAGCAGCAGCAGCAGCAGCAGCAGCAGCAGCAGCAGCAGCAGCAGCAGCAGCAGCAGCAGCAGCAGCAGCAGGAGGCGTAGCAAGACATGCTGACAGCGTAACATGGCATGCTCCCTTTGGACATCCAGACGACAGGAATTACATCCGGGAATCTCAGTGGGGTTGAGCGCTACGAGAAAATACAGCATCAGCACCCCACGAGTCAGCAGCAGCATATGCGTGCAGGCAGGGTGCTGCTTGAAACGAGCGTGAATAAAACAAGGGCACCACTTACAGAAGGGGATCTTGCAGTGGGGTTGAGTGCGACGAGGAAATACAGCAGCAGCACCCCACACGTCCCATATGCCCACTGACCATCCACCTCCCCTGCTCCGCTCCCTCTCTCCGTGAACTTCTCTACAATCACACTAGTTATAGGGGGCAGTTCTCCAAGCCCTTTCCCGCTCGCTATCCCCCCTATAGCCGTGCTAGCGTAACTGTACAGTGCCTGGGTGGCTGCTGACGTGGCAAAGGCCACTACAGACAAAGCTGATGACGCTTGAGACGAAATTACGCCCATAGAAGGCAAATAAGAGCTAATCCCTCCTAAAATCGCCCCTTCGCCTCCTCCCGTCCCACCTCCTCCTCCTCCTGCCCCTCCCGCTGCCCCTGCCCCTCCCCCTCCCCCCCCTCCTGCCCCCGCCATCCCCCCACTCCCCTGCCCCGGCTCCTGGGAAAGCGAGAGCAGCGAGTGAATCGTATGGAGCAGGGGAACCAGGGGCGCGTTGGCTGACGAGGCGATTCTATCCGCATAGGGATTGGAAGCTCTTCGCCAGAGCAGCAGGAGGAGGAGGACGAGTGAGGTATCGAATTCGAGGCGCTGGCGGTGGTGCGGAGGGGAGAGGGTGAGGAGGGAGAGGAGGGGGTCCGTGATGGGGTGGAGGAGCAGGTAGGAGGCGACTGGGTTGGCGTTCACGTTGTCTGTTGCAGTCAGAAGCACCAGGAAGAGCCTGGGAAGGGGGGCAGGGGAAGAGGAGGGAGAGAGAAAGAGGAGGGGGGAAAGGGATTGGCATGAGAGCAGCAGCAGCGGCAGCAGCAGCAGGAGGAGGAGGACGAGTGAGGTGTCGAATTCAAGGCGCTGGCGGTGGTGTGGAGGGGAGATGGTGAGGAGCGAGAGGAGGGGGTCCGTGATGGGGTGGAGGAGCAGGTAGGAGGCGACTGGGTTGGCGTTCACGTTGTCTGTGGCGGTGAGCAGCATGAGGAAGAGCCTGGAAAGGGAGCAGCAGAAAGAGGGAGCAGATTAAGGGAGCCGGGAGAGGGAGCAGGGATGAATAAGAGGAGCATAGGGGGTTGGCGTTGACGTTGTCTGTGGCTGTGAGCAGCACGAGGAAGAGTCTGGGAAGGGGAACGAGCAGGGTGGGGAGGGAGAGGGCGGGGGGCAGAGAGCGGGGAGTGGCCCCGTGTGAGCAGCCCGGAGACATCACATCACAGCGCCTTCACTATAGCCACTTGGTGACTATAGTAAAGGTAAACCAATACAAGGTTACTCTACCTTTTCTTGTCCCAAGTGCTTTTATGAGCACTGGCACGTATTCCCCTGTGAGTAGCCTGGCTAGCAAATTGTAAGAGAAGGAATCCCAGCTGTGTGAATCTGAGGGTTTGTATGTACACTGTAACGGTTACAGGGTTACCCTACCTGGTCCCGAGTGCCTTTATGAGCACAGGCAAGTTCTCCCCTGTGAGTAGGCCAGAGACGTCACAGAAGAGCTTCTTGAGCAAGGCATCCCCACCCCACTGTGTGACTATCGTTCATACATTATGTAACAGGGTTACCCTACCTTGTCCGAAGTGCTTTTATGAGAACTGGCACGTTTTCCCCTGTGAGCAGGCCGGAGACACTGCAGATGAGTTTATGAAAGTGGGCATTCCGGGTTCATACATTACAGAGTTACCCTACCTGGTCCCGAGTGCTTTGATGAGCACTGGCACGTTCTCCCCTGTGAGCAGGCCAGAGACGTCACAGATGAGCTTCTTGAAATGAGCATCCCCGGTGTGTGAATGTACGGATGATCATAGGTTACAGGGTTACCCTACCTTGTCCCAAGTGCTTTTATGAGAACAGGCACGTTATCCCCTGTGAGCAGGCCAGAGACGTCACAGATGAGCTTCTTGAAATAGGCATCCCCACTGTCCGCGTTCCCTGCAACGAGCGTGATTATAGTGAAGGTCTGCGAGTGACAATGGGGGAAAACGGGAGGGGTGACAACGGAAAGGGGAGAGGGAGGGGTGCTAAGCCCCCTGGCAGGCTGACATGTCCCAGTCCCGTCCCACTCCGAACTATTATCCATATATTTCACACAGAAACACGCCCAGAGGGAAAATCGATTCAAACGTATGCTGTGTGGGCTGCTCGGAGGAAGCGCCATCATATTATAACCCTCTGCTGCTTCGCAAAACCTCTGCCCTCAGAAACACGGCTAAGGCTCCAATCCTAGCTCAAGGCTAGGGAACCATCCCATCACGGCACCATGCTCACCTGCTCTGCAAACCGCTTCTTGAAGATCTCCCTCAGAAACACGGCTAGGGTTTCAAGAGCATGAGCCACTCGGATGAAATTCACATCGCTCAAATATCTGGTTGGGAAAGGGGGACGAGGAGGGATGGGGAGGAAAGGGATGGGTGAGACGACCAAAAGACGAGCGACAGGGTGTGAATTCACCTGAGCAGGGCTGCGGATTCACCTGAGGAAAGCTGTGGATTCACCTGAGGAAAGCTGAGGGTTCACCTGAGGAAGGCTGTGGATTCACCTGAGGAAGTCCGTGGATTCACCTAAGGAAGGCTGCCGATTCACCTACGGAAAGCTCTGGATTCACCTGAGAAAGGCTGTGGATTGACCCGAAGAAGGCTGTTGATTCACCGGAGACACAACTGGAAATTCACCTGAGTTGGGCTGTGATTCACCTGAGACAGGATCAAAAATCACCTGAGGCAGGCTGTAGATTCACCTGAGGCAGGCTGTAGATTCACCTGAGACAGGCTCGGGATTCACCTGAGGCAGGCTGTGAATTCACCTGAGGCAGGCAGAGAAGATCTCGTTGATAGTTGGCTTGAGAGGACCAATGAGGCGATCCTCGGGGATGGATGCGATGCACTGTGCCAGGTAGGCGTCGTTCACCTGCCTCGTTCAAGGCACGCAGAATCAAAGACACAGCAGTGAAACACAGCAGTGAGACATAGTGATGGGGTTACAGCACACAAGAGGGGACCAACGAGGCGATCCTCGGGGATGGATGCGATGCACTGTGCCAGGTAGGCGTCGTTCACCTGCCTCGTTGGGAGTGACGGAATAGTGGGACGCAGAGTCACGCAATAACGGGGACACGGGGAAGGAGGATGAGGAATCCCACAAGCAGCGAGGATTCTGAAGCGATATGGAAACGGGAAAGGCAGCGCTTTTCTGTTTCGATTTTAATCAATTTGGAAGCAAGCCGTCAAGGTTGCACAAGTGATTTCGATCTGAAGAGAGGAGTCACGATTGCTGCAAAATGTGCAGCCCAGGGAATCAGAACCGCTTACAACGCTACGCCACAACGCTACGCAGCTTCACGGTGTCGCGCCTTAGAGATTGAGTACAAAGGCAGCAGCATGGTGTGAGATAGGACCACTGGAACCTACTTTTAACAGAAGAAGTTCGTCCCAGAACCGCTGCAGCTCCTGCCGTCCTTCGAACCCTTTCTCCCTGCACGTACTGATCGGGCTACGTCCATTGAACACGTCCTCGTAACGGCAAACGAAGAGCTCTTTTAACGGAGCCTTGAGATTCGCCGCTCCACCTGCTCGAGATGTCTTGTGCGCGACCAATCCCTGGCTCCTCATGATCGGACGGTGCTGATCGCGTAAAGATCGCCGGATCAGGTAAGAGACATAAGGCTCCCGATCAATAATCAAGGGACGAAGCGAAAGGAACGGTGCGAATTCGCGAAATGTCGACGCGCATTGGCGAAGATTTCGTGCGAACTAGCAATTGGTGCGTCCAGGACGGTAATTTCGCGAATCAAAACGAAAGCCGGCCGAGGAGTAAGGCGGGCCACAGAAACGACCCCGCGCTTAGGCTTGACACGCTTCGCCTTGGACTGACAAGCCGCGATTCGCCCTAGAATCTGTCAGGTCAACCTAGAACGAACTCAAGAGCTATTGGAGAAGCTGACAAGTCTATATACGCGCTACAAGCTCCTCGGCCGACTGGGTCTGGAAGAGCAAACACGAGCTTGAGATTGGCTGAGGTGAGAATGGATGGTCGGCAAAAGTCAGATCAGCCCAGATGCAGCGATGTAGGCGAATTTGGCAGCAAAGAATTCTCCGTCAATAAGCAGGTTGTGGTGTGGAATTCAAACGAATTTCTCTGTAGATGCCAAAATCGAGGGAAACTCGATTTATAAGGCTTCGTTTGTCAGACGGAGAACTATAGCCCACTTCACGTCTGAACGTCAATACAGCATCTTTCGCACACAGCACTTCGATCACCTCATAGATTCCTGCCTCCCATCTTTCTGCCCAAAAGCAGGCTTTTCCAACGAAATTCTCAGAGACTGAACGGATTTCGGACCTATTTTCGCAGATTAGTTCCTCGGTCTCCTCAGTCTCCTTGATCCCCGGCGACCTTCACATCTCCAAAAGCGCCTCGCGGGGGCCTTCCGAGTATTATTAGCAGGATCTTGAAGCGAGGTCAGTACTTCTGAGTCTGAGGTGTTTTTAATGTTGCTGCTCCCATCAGCGCAATTCTTGCAACCCGATCTGAACCCGATGAGGTTATGGCGTTATCCTATTACGATAGTGATTAGATTCGCAAGTCATTTATTCCGCGATTTCCGGGTGAGAGCATGTATCTAATATGATCACTCAAACGACGATGAAGTGAGCATCGAGATTCCACCCTGTAGCTGCCTGAATTCGCGTCGACAGCAGTTTCCATGATTCATCTGCCAGTACTCGCTAATCTCTTGAGTCTAACGCAGACTTGACTCAAATTAGGAAAAAGAGCTGTTAGTTAGAACCTCAATATGGTTAGATTCGATTAGATTCGGTTCGTTAGATCCTGGGCAAGTCTTTCCGTCCTTGTTGCCAACAAATTCTGAATCTCTGCAGTGTGTTTGTATCGAATACTGATTGCCTGTAGCGCGCTTTTGAATATTTCCTGCATGCAGTGTGCTTGTTGCGGATCCTCCTTTATCGCCGCCATGAGTCGCGGGTCGGGAGCAGGGTACGATCGTCACATCACCATCTTTTCACCCGAAGGCCGCCTCTACCAAGTTGGTTCGTCGCTTTTCACGCCCTTGACTCTCCGATACGCGCTCCCTCCATTCCCCATCCTTTCCTTCCGTCACGCTTCCCCCGTCTCCCTCCCGCCATCTCTCTCTCGCTCCCTCCCTTCTTCCCTCACTCATATCACCATCTTCTCGCCCGAAGACCGCCTCTACCAAGTTGGTTCGTTTCTTTCATGCTCGACTCCGTAATTCCCTTTTTTTTTTCCAACCTTCCCTTTCCTTCTCCCGCTCTCCCTCTTTCTCGCTCCTTCCCTCTTGCACTCAGTTATCACCAACTTCGCCCGAACTCCACCTCTACCAAGTTGCTGCCCTCAACCACTCGATTCCCTATTTCTTCCTCCCTTCCTCCCTCCCTCCCTCCCTCCGTCCCACTTCGCCTCGCCCCTTCACCCTCCGTCACATCACTTCCTCCTCCGCTCCTTCCTAAATTCCTTCAAGGTATATTTCTCGATCGTGAATTACGTTCTCATATTGCCGCTCCTCCTCTTCTTCTTCTCTTACCGTCCTCCCTTATGCCCCACCCGTTTCACCAGAATATGCCTTGAGGCAGTCAAGTCGGTTGGAGTAACACCAATTGCCGTGCGAGGCACGGATTCAGTCTGATTGTTCCTTTTCCCTTCCTCCCTTCCGCACCCGCCCTCTTTTCCCTTCCCCTTTCCACCAGAATATGCTTTCAAGGCGGTCAAGTTGGTTGGAGTAACATCACATCATTTGCCGTGCGAGGCACGGATTCAGTCTGATTGTTCTTTTTCCCTTCCTCCCTTCCGCACTCGCCCTCTTTTCCCTTCCCCCTTCCACCAGAATATGCTTTCAAGGCGGTCAAGTCGGTTGGAGTGACGTCCATCGCAGTGCGAGGCAAGGATTCAGTGTGCTTCGTGACTCAAAAGAAGGTCCCTGTAAGTGCGCGCTCTCCTTTTGCATTGAGATTCCAGAATAAGGATTTTGTGTGCTTCGTGACTCAAAAGAAGGTCCCTGTGAGTGTTCTTTCTCGCTCGCGCTCACCGCTCGGTTCTTTAACATCATTATCACAACCCAATCAACCAAGCGGAACTCGGTGTGATTCATGATGAAAAGGGAGATCCCTGTAAGTGCTCGTTTGCTCGCATCAGGACAAGCTGACAGACAAGACCAGCGTCAGAAACCTGCTTTCGCACCCCGACTTTCGCTTAATCTTCCCCCCCCCCCCCCCCCCCCCCCCCCCCCCTGCTCCCTGTTCCTTCGCCTCGCCCTTCCTCCCCTCCCACCTGTGTTTTTCCCGCTCTGTCATCAGGACAAGCTGACAGACAAGACCAGCGTCACGAACCTGTTTCTCTGAACTCCAACCCTTGCTCAATCCCCTTCCCCTCTCCCTCCCGCCCCTCCCCCGTCTCGGCAATCATTTTTTTCCCGCCCCGTCATCAGGACAAGCTGATAGACGAGACCAGCGTCACGAACCTGTATCCAGTCACCAAAGGCATTGGCATGCTGGCGACAGGCCTCACAGGTGCGTGTGAGGTGGGTGAGAGTTGCGTGTGAGGTGCATGTGAGGTGGGTGGGAGGTGGGTCACACAGGTGGGTCAGAGCCGTCACGAACCTGTTCCCGGTCACCAAGGGCATTGGCATCTGGCAACGGGCCTCACAGGTGCGTGGGAGGTGGGTGAGAGTTGCGTGAGAGGTGTGTGGGAGGTGGGTGCGAGGTGGGGCGGAGGTGGGTCACACAGGTGGGTTAGAGGCGTCACGAACCTGTACCCGGTCACCAAGGGCATTGGCATGCTGGCGACAGGCCTCACATGTGTGTGGGAGAGTTGATGTCATCAATCAAGCACTGGTCAATTACACCAGGGTTACCACTTTTTTTTATCTATCTCCTCTCCCTTGCCGCCTGCTCTTCTCCTCCGTGCCGACGCGAGATCAATAGTTTTGTGGGCTCGTTACGATTCTGAAGGGGTGCAAGTTATTGAAGATCCCTGAGGGCATCAACCGGCTGACGAAGCTTCAAGAGCTATGCATCAGGTATTGCAGCGATCTGCGAGAGATTCCTGAGGTTATTACGGGTCTCAAGCGTCTGGAACGCTTGCGTGTTGAGGGCTGTGCGAGCCTTGATTGGATGCTTAACGATGCTCGTACAGCTTTCAACGCGCAAGCTCTCCAGGCGCCTGAGAGCCGTAATGGCCTCGGGAATCTCCAGCACTTCGCTGCAATAGCTGATGCAGAGCTCTTGAAGCTTCGTCAGCCCGCTGATACCCTCAGGGATCTCCGACAACTTGCATCCCTTCGATTGTTTAACCCCAATCCCCACATCTTTTCACCCCTTCCCACTTCTACCTTCCGTCTGTCCTCTCCCGTCTTTCTTCAGCCGACGCGAGATCGTTGGTGCTGAGGGCCCGCCACGAGGCGGCGGAGTTCCGGTTCAAGCTGGGATATGACGTGCCTGTGGACTACCTGGCTAGAAGGTGTGTTGAGGAGTGCTTTGTGGTGCTGTGTGGTACTGTGCAGGGCTGATTTGGGTTAAAGTGGAAGGTACTTTATCATGAGACACGAGGCGGCAAGGTTTCGGTTCAAGCTGGGGTATGACGTGCCTGAGGACTACCTGGCTAGAAGGTGATGCGCTGTGCTTAGTGGTACTGTGCGGTGCTGGTGGGTTGGGTGGCAGTGTGGGTGGGCTGTATTGGTGGGCTTGTGCTGGGAGGCAGGCATGAGCCACGAGGTGGCAGAGTTCCGGTTCTAGCTGGCTGGGTAACGACGTGCCTGTGGACTACCTGGCTAGAAGGTGTGTTGAGGGGTGCTGTGTGGTGTTGGGGTGGGGTTGAAAGCACCATGTGTGGGTTCAAGCTGGGGTACGACGTGCCTGTGGACTACCTGGCTAGAAGGTGTGTTGAGGGGTGCTCAGTGGTGCTGTGTGGTATGGTATGGGGGTGGGGTAGAAGAAGGTATTGTAGCATGAGTGACGAGGCGGCAGAGTTCCGGTTCAAGCTGGGGTACGACGTGCCTGTGGACGACCTGGCTAGAAGGTAGGTAAGAGGATGTGTGCTGAGGGGTGCTCAGTGATACTATGTGGTGCTGGTGGGCTGGTAATGAGGGCTCATCACTCGCTAGTAGGTACTGTGTTGGATGGATGGCAGTGTGTGTGGGTTATGGTGACAAGTGGGGTGGGTTGTGTGCGGTAATGCGTCGTGCTGCTATGTTACCATCCTTCAATGTAGTGCCCCGAAAATTCCCTTTCTTCCCACTTCCCGCCCTCTCTTCCCCACTTCCTCTTTCCCCTCCCCTGTGTGTGTGTGCAGATTGGCGGACATGGCTCAGGTGTACACGCAGCAGGCATACATGCGACCTCTGGGCGTGGGTGAGTGTGCTCCTGTGTGAGGGTATGAGTGAGCAAGTTAGTGAGCGAGTGTGTGGGTGGCTGGGGAGTACACACAGGTGGCATACATGCGACCGCTGGGAGTGGGTAGGTGACTGGGTGAGTCAGCAAGTTCGTAAGTGAGTGGGTGGGTGTCACAAGTGTACACACAGCAGGTATACATGTGACCGCTGGTCATGGGTGAGTGTGCGTGTGTGTGATTGAGCGTGTGTGTGAGTGATTGAGTGAGCGAGTGGGTTACACACATGCCATGTCACACGCATGCCACGTCATGCACATGCCACATCACACACATGCCACGTCACGCACATGCCACGTCACGCACATGCCACGTCACGCACATGCCACGTCACGCACATGCCACATTACACACATGCCATGTCACACACATCCCATGTTGTGCACGTGCCGTATCCCACCCCGTTTAGCTAGCCACGTTTCTGATCAGCATTGACGATAAGTTTAGTTGAGCCCCATGCTGTGCAAGTGGAGCAAGTATGCATGCAGCCATGTTCCTGCCTTCCCTGCTTCCCCCCTTTCCCTCTCTCCCCAAAACCCTTCGTCCCCAGCCACCATGCTGATCGGCATTGACGATGAGTTTGGCCCCATGCTGTACAAGTGTGATCCAGCTGGCTACTACGTCGGTTACAAGGTGCGTGCAGCTATCACGTTACCATGTAGCATAGTGTGTTCAGGTGCCCAGTACCCTCTGAGCTCATTCAGCCCAATGCTGTACAAGTGCGATCTAGCTGGCTACTAAGTTGGTTACAAGGTGCGTGCGGTTACCAGGTAGCACAGTGAGTTCAGCCCAATGTTCTGCAAGTGCTACCCAGCTGGGTACTACCTCGGTTACAAGGTGCGTGCGGTTACTGTGTTACCATGTAGCGCCAAGTACCTTACAAGATTTGACGATGCTGTACAAGTGCGCCTAGCTGACCAATACGTTGGTTACCATTGATTCATTCACCAACGTTTACCGCATTGCATCTCACTGCACCACACCAGGCCACAGGGGCAGGAGCCAAGGAGCAGGAGGCGATAAACTTTCTGGAGAAGAAGCTAAAGGACGGGAAGCACCAGAACCTGACAGCAGATGAGGCAGTGCAGGTGAGCGCAGAACCCCGCAGTACCGCACTGTACCACATCTCACCACGTTTCACCGCACTGTATCTCGTTATACCCTGTGCTGTGGCACCAATAAGCACTTTAGAGAAGAAGCTTAAGGACGGGAAGCACCAGAACCTCACATCAGACGAGGCGGTGCAGGTGAGCGCAGTACGGCGCTCTACCGCATCATACCTCATCTCACCACATTTCACCGCACAGCATTTCACTTCACTCCGTGGCACGAATAAGCTCTTTGGAGAAGAAGCTCAAGGATGGGAAGCACCAGAATCTGACATCGGACGAGGCAGTGCAGGCGAGGAGAGGACAAAACCCTGCAGTACCGCACTGTACCACATATCACCACTTCTCACCACATTTCACCACATAGCATCTCTCATCACCCTGTAGCTCCAATAAGCACTTCAGGGAAGAATCTCAAGGATGGGAGGCAGCAGAACCTGACAGCAGACAAGGTAGTGCAGGCGAGGAGAGGACGAAACCCTGCAGTACTGCACTGTACCGCATCTCACCACTCCTCACCACATTGCACCGCACAGCTCATCACCCTGTAGCTCCAATAAGCACTTGGGGAAGAATCTCAAGGAGGGAGGCAGCAGAACCTGACAGCAGACGTAGCGCAGGCAAGGAGAGGACAAAACCCCGCAGTACCGCACTGTACCGCATCTCACCACTCCTCACCACATTTCACCGCACAGCATCTCTCTTCACCCTGTAGCATCAATAAGCACTTCGGGGGAGAGGCCCAAGGATGGCAAGCACCAGAACCTGACAGCAGATGAGGCAGTGCTGGTGAGCGCAGAACCCTACAGTACCACAATTCACCACGTCTCACCACGTCTCACCACATGTCACCGCACAGCATTTCACTTGACCCTGTGGCACCAATAACCTCGTTGGAGAAGACACTGAAGGATGGGAAGCACCAGAACTGCAGCACCTCACAGCACCGCATTCCACTGCATCTGACCCCACTCCCCCCACCCTTTGCACCCTCTCCCACCTCAGTTGGCCATTTCAGCGCTGCAAGGTGTGCTGTCAGAAGACATGAAGGCGACCGAGATCGAGGTGAGGGGGGGTGACGAGGGGTGACGAGGGGTGACGATGGGTGAAAGGTTAGAAATAGTTGCTGTTTTCTCATCAGCTGCATTAGCAGCATCTCATCTCAGCACTGCAAGGCGTGCTGTCAGAACACATGAAGGCGACTGAGATCGAGGTGAGGGGGAGTGATGATGGGTTGGGCTGAATTGTCATTCATGGTAAGCTCAGCAACAGCGGCATCAAAGCTCAGCACACGACGGCATGCCCGAGCATCATAGCGCTGCAAGGCGTGCTGTCAGAAGACTCGTGTCAGAAGACTCGTGTCAGAAGACTCGTGTCAGAAGACTCGTGTCAGAAGACTCGTGTCAGAAGACTCGTGTCAGAAGACTCATGTTAGAAGACTCGTGTCTTCTGTCAGAAGACTCAAGGCAAACGAGATCGAGGTGAGGCGGGGATGACAATGGGTGCAGAGGTAAGACAGGAAGGTTGGGTGCGGACTGTCAGTCGTAGTAAGCAGAGCATCAGCAGCGTCTCATCTCAGCGCTGCAAGGCGTGCTGTCAGAAGACATGAAGGCGACCGAGATCGAGGTGAGGGCAATCCCCCAATTAGCATCATTTCAAAGACCCATATCTGATTAGCATACTTCAGCAGCACCTCTCAGAGAAGAGAATGGATGCTCCTAAATTTCCCACTTGATTTTAGTTAATGGATGCACAACTTTCTAAATTGTGTGTTTCCAAATTGCACATCTGCAGGTGGGGTTGGTTGAGGCCAAGGGAGAGACGGCCTTCAGAACGCTCTCTGTGGATGAGATCGAAGCGCATCTGACAGCCATTAGCGAACGCGACTAAACGAGATGGAACATCTGGTGGTGTTAGCGAATATGCCCTAATGAGAATAAAGCCCGTCTGACTGCTGATTGTGATTGGACTAAATGATTTTGAAATCCGTTTGAAGGGCCTCTCTGTAAGTCGTCGGATGAAGCACATATCTATCGACATCATGCTCAGAGAATGCATTTGCAAGATAGCATCATGATGTTTGGGAGAGTTTTCAGGAAATTATGTGGTTATTCTCAGAACATAAGAAGCTAAGGAAGTAAGTTAGGTAGAAGGGATGATGTCACTAGGAAGCATAGGGTACAAGTAACGAGGGTTGATAGAAATCATGTACCCTCTAAGAACTACCTCAGCAGTCTATCTAAATGATATAAACACACTTGACACACCCCCATAGGCTAAGTACGGTAAGGGGCATCAAAACAAAACTGAAGGAACAAATGGTCACCAGATTAGGTGAAAAAAGCAACAATGCAAAGCTCAGGGTTCGCAAACTCACCATACAATCTGAGCACAAGCAGGTAGCCACAAGGCCAGTCAAGTGTTCACATAAATATATATATGCATATAAGTACAATAAGAAACAATAAGCTAGATTATAATAACCGAGGGCCAACGTCAACTAGGCCTAGCTGCAGACAGAACCTGTGGTGGTCACCACGCAGAAGGGCCTTGGTGAAGATGTCTGCAGTGTTGGCCTCTGACTCAATGAAGTCTAAGTGTGCCTGGCCGCGTCGCTGCAACTCTCGTAGGAGAAAATACCTCACGTCGATGTACCGTATCACCCCGGATATAAGCGCAGGCCTATGTTAAGCGCATGCGCTTATATCTGGAGCAATGCGCTTATGGCCGATCCTCGATTATAAGCGCACCCCCTGTAAAACCTTGACTTATTATAAGCGCATCAATAATTCTACAGTTCAATCCTAATTAATACAGTAACGATTTCCCTTTTGCAGCGAGTCCAAATCCGTTTCTACTTCGTTTGACTCGCTCGAGGCGAGCGATTGCAGGAGAAAGAAGCGAAACGGCGTGAAGATGACTGACTGACAGCACATCGTTGGGAGGGGAGGGGAGGGAAGATGGGCGCTGGAAATGACTGTCCTGTGCGTTGTGCGAGAGAAAAAGGGGCAGGCGGGGGGGCTCGGGAACGACTATGCCTCTGCGCTGCGAGCAAGCGACTCCGTGCGACTGGCTCGTACATTGGTTCGGGGCGAGCTTGACACATCCCTCTGCGCTGTGACGTGTCCTCGCCCCTGTGCGGCGGCAGAAATCGCCCTCGCGCGATTCTTTGATTTGGGACGCTGTAATGTTCTGATTCGATTGAAATTGCACGACTGAGATGTACAGTTTGGTGAATTTAAAACATATTTCTGTAATTGTCATATTATAAGCGCATGCGCTTATAATTCTGACTCAATTAGAAGTGCACCCCCCCAAAAAACACTGTTTTATTATAAGCGCACGTGCGCTTTTATCCGGGGCAATACGGTACCTCACGTCGATGTGCTTCACTCTGCTCTCCAGTCGAGGCTCTCGACACAGGAGGATCATGGCCTTGTTGTCAGCGAACAAGGTCGATGCAGAGCGAGGTTGCTCACCAAGGTTGGTAAGCAAGAAGGTCAACCAGCGAAGCTCCTGCGCAGCCATGGCACCGGCGTAGATCTCTGCCTTAGCACTAGACGAAGCCACAGACGACAACTGTGTGGACTTCCACGACACAGCTCCAGCACCCAAGCTAAAGCAGTGTCCCTGAGTAGACCGCTGAGTCTCAACGTCGTCGGTGTAGGAAGAATCGCAGTGACCGGTGAGAACGATTTGCTTTCTCCCTCCAAGCACAAGCCTTATGCCAGATGTAGTCGCCAGGTACTTTGCCACCCTCACAACAGCTGTCTAGTGAACAGGACAGTGTCTCCCAGTCCCAACAAAACGAGAGAGGACGCGGAGAGGAAAGGCGAGGTCCGGACGAGTACAAGTTATCAGGTGCATGAGGCAACCCACAAGCTCTTTGTAGGGACCACTAGACTCAAAAGGCTCGTCGGGAAAAGGGTCGATGAGTCTGTGGTCAACGCCAAGAGGAGTGGGCTGTGTGGTGCAGTGCTGAAGCCCAAACTGTGCCGTGTGACTGTGAGAGTGTAATGGTGCAAGCGGCTCTGGCCCTAGTGATCTGCAAGCCAAGGTAGCGGCGGAGCTCACCAAGGTCAGTGCACGTGTGTCTCTTCTGCAGTTCGGACTTCACCTCAGCCAGAGCGACCCTGTCTGCTATAGCAAAGACCAAGTCGTCAACGTAGACGAGGACGAAGAAAGGTGTGGGCCCAGAACGAACGAACATCGACGGGTCGGCGGACGAAGGACGAAACCCGAGGGCAGCAAGAGTGGTGCGCAGCCTGTTGTGCCACTCACGGGGCGCCTGGCGGAGACCGTAGACTGGCCACCTCAGGCTCCACTGGGTCCTAGGCGGGAAAGTTCCAGTGAAGCCGGGAGGACGGCGCAGCCAGATCTCCTCGTGCAGGCTGCCCTGGAGAAAGTCGGTGGAGAAGTCGAGGGAGTGCAGCTCATAGTCTCGCTGTGCTGCAACGTGGAGTAACACCCGAAGAGTGGTCATCTTCGGGGTCGGTGCGAAGGTATGAAAGAGGTCGACTCCCTCGCGATGACTGAAGCCTCTAGCCACGTAGTGCGCCTTGAAGACCAGCGGTGATCCCGGCGGCCGCTTCACCTTGAAGAGCCACATGCCATCGACTACGTTCACCCCAGGCGTGGGAACTGCGTCGATGAAAGTGCTTGTGGATCTCCAAGACGCCATCTCTGACTCCATGGTTGCTATCTACTAAGAGGCCCACTGCCCTGACGCTGCCTCACAATACGTGCGAGGAGTCCTTATGTCAAGGGCGTCGGGGTCTCTCTCAGGGGCTAACAGCATGGCACAGGATGAGGAGAAGCGGCTGCCAGGAACTTCAGCTTAAACTGTCTGTCCTCTAGGACGTCACATCCAAGGGCACACTCACCCCCGACGGATAGAGGACGGGCAGACACCACTCGGGTGGCGTAGTCAAGGCGGCGGGTGGCGGCAAAGTCAGCGACAACAGCAGTAAGAGCCGAGACAGACGACGGAGAGGCACGAGGGTCCGTGACTAGAGAGGCAAGAACACGAGTGACAACTGGACGGGTGGCACGATAGTAGTCAGTGATAGGGGTAGAGGTGGAGGCTGTAAGAGATGACTCGGAGGTGACAGGAGAACAGACCGAGGTGGAGAAAGATGAGGACTCGAATGAAATAAGACAGTGCGGAGGTCATCAAGGGTAGACGAGGGACGTGGACGGGCGGGACTATCAACGGGAGTTGTGTGTTTGCCCCGTCCTCGCTTGGGCGGAGCCGACTTCGTGGTTGGGTGTGAGGGGAGCAGCCGACCTGCAGCAGTGGGCGAGCTGGTTGACGAGGAGGTCGACCTGTACGGGGGTCACTTCACGGGCGCTGACTTCAAGGTGGCGCCGACTTCAGGGTGGCGCCGACTTCAGGGAGGTCGACCTGGGAAGTCGACCTATGGAGGGCGTCAACTTGGTGACGCCAACTTGGGGGCAGCCGACTGGGTGGTCGGCTGACAGGCCTTCTGGTCGACTTGGTGGTTGGTCGACCAGGTGTGATGTCCACATGGTGGTCGACCTGACCTGGTGGTCGATGGAGGAGTGGCCGACGTCGACCTCGACTCAGGACGCCGAGCAGTTGGGCGTCAAGTAGCAGGGCATCAAATTGGTGACGCCGACTTCGGGTAGCCGACCTGGAGCTGGTCGGCTGACAACTGCGCTGGTCGACATGGAGCTGGTCGACCAAGAGTGACGTCAACCTGGAGTTGGTTGACCAGGGGTGTGGTCGACCTAGTGAGGTCGACTTGGAGGTGGTCATTGACTTGGGAGGTTGACGGGCACATACGGTAGCACCTGGTCGACGTGGTTGCTCGGTTGACCAGGTTACCTGGGTGACGAGGTTCTGCGGAGGAGTGCGACTCTCGCCCAGGCAAAGTTGGCGAGTTCGACCTCGGTGGTGGTATCCCGACGTTGACGTGGCTGATCAGATGCACTCGCCAGCGCCAGGTTGACTTGGTGTGTGCGCTGTGCAGGTGACAAGGCTCAGCGCGCGAATCATCTGCGAGCACCTGCGAAGCTAGTGCGATGCTGTACTGCGGGAGCTG